TTGTCACGGTTTTCAAACATAGAGTAGTTGAAGAAGTAAATTGTAAAATAAACTTATTAAAGGCTTCTCAAAGCAATTGAAAAAGAATCAGTCCACCGGAAGAGATCTTTGATGATATACCGATCTAGCAGTTGAATTAGTCGTGGTAAACATAACTCCTACTAAATGAGTAGCACATAAACAAAGGTCGAAGAGATACAAAGGATAAAGTCCTACAATCATGCTGCCACTACCGTTTAAAGATGCAAAATCAGCGGATTCAGTCTGGTTGTACGGCCGATGCAAACTTTGAGCGCCAATATTGGTGTCAACAATGAAATCATGTTTTCAATCATCTTTTGATAACATCATTCCTTTTTTCTGTCACCGATGTTTTCTTTGTTATAGAAATCATGGTGGGTGGCTTTCAATTGTCTATTACATCTTCTTGATCTCGGTGTACAACATTTGTTTTAGAGGATTGATCAATTCAGGTTCTTGCTCCAAAATATAACCCTATACCACGTGAAACCATGCGTGGCTTACACAATCAAATGTGATTTGTGCGACGTAGGTTATTCAAGTCCAATGCATTTGGATCAGGGCCATTAAAGTGGGCGGTCTCGACTAAATTAAGCGAGGATCAAAATTTGTACGAATGAAAAATAACAATTTTAGTGTTTTATCACGCGAGCATTGGTCTTAAAGAGCCCTTTCTTGAATACTCTTGCAACGACAAGACAACCGTGGAGAGTAGATGTGTAGGGTAGCGGAGGGGCTTTTAGACTCATAAACACGCTCTTTTTGCCTTTGTCGTTGTTAAATGAGCCGTTTAATTGAATCGCCCGTCGAGAAGAAGAAAACCGCTTCATATACCCCACAAACTGTTTTGATGTGGCTATCATATTAGCAAAAGTTGCAAACGCCATCGGAACGCCCAAAGTTTTCAAGTTGTAAATAATGCCTGTTCGTCTGTACCTGAAAAGACGTTTTCAAGACTTGATGATGTTTTTTGAAGGGCTTCTTAGGCTTATCTTGTATTTTGGGCCACAAAGAGCTGTAGAACACGATTATGAGGAAGGTAGGTTGCAACAGGAACCTATAATAAGCTTGATGGTCGAGCCGTGTTGTTTCTATCCGATTTGAAAAACAGGAACCGATAAAAAGTACCAAATCTTGAAAAAAACATCGAATCAGCAATTTGAGCAATTCTTGACCATTTATCTACACGATCCAACCGTCTTCTTTAACTTGTTTAAAAATAGCTCAAAAGTGACCCGTTATTTAACTATGTGCTACACAAAATAAATGACTGAAAATCTGAATTTTGGAGGCCAAGTATGGTAGTTTTCGATCTCCAAAGGACTCTTGTGGGGGAACGATTCAGCGTGATTTGATAAAATTTTAAAGTTGGATAGAATGCGCCCATACAGCGGTACAGTCAATTAGCCGAAAACTGTTCACATAAACACGCGATCTCATTGTTTCGCATTTTACGTCCAATCGGCAGTTTATTTAACATAATATCCTCTTACCCTCGATGGTTTTGTTTTGAAGAGGGCTACAGTCCTGAAATTGTTGCATCGTTCACATAAAAGCAAAATAACTTGGCAGGATAACACCTCCTGATCATACTTTTACAAAGCGTACTTCGAGGTTTTTGATTTGAGATTCCTCTATTCCCATTTTGTTGAAAAGGAGGCTATAATTACTTCACGTAAAAGTTATCTGCTTAGATATTAGTATAAAACCGAATTGCGAACCAAATGTAAGCGAAATGTTGCTAGTTCAGAAACATATGTTTCTCGTTTGCTTGCGGAATAACGCTAATTAATTCAAAAAGAGGTCTACTGAAATCGACAACTCCGCAAAATTAGTAACATCGGGCCGTGAAACACTTGGCTTTGGGACTTAGGTCGAGATTTAGATATATTAAAAAAAATTAACAATGTTTTTACATCCAACTGCGTGTGCTGAGTTTGGCTGACTCCGGTAGCAATATAGTGCTCAAGTCGGATGAACTTTTACTTTGTAGAGAGGTTCCCAGTGCCATGTACAGAACCAAACGATCCCCGGTTCATAGACGGATTGTTGGAAGGTGAGCAATTCTTTAAAGTATAGTTAGTCTCGTGATTATTCTCTTTCGGGCCATTAAAAATTGATATTTTTTTGTTATCAGAATCGATACTCTGAGGAAATAAACGTCCAAATACTCTGATGAACGGATTTATCGATTTGATAATTTATCGTTTCCATCATCAATCTCGTCTTCATTGATATTTATTTATTAATTCATTACCTATTTATCTGTTGACTCTAAATTTCTCCTGTAATTTTGACGGTCTTAGTAAGTTGCTGACGAAATTTTGACGGCATTAGTAATTACAGAAGCGGAACCAGCCGCGGTTTTAGTTTCTCACGCCGTCTTATCGACAAGAGGCGTGAAGGCTTTGTCAAGGTAACTGGATGACTTAATTTATCTGTGACATTCAGACAATAAGAGGAACTCAACTTTGACAGGTCGAGATCTAAATATGTCAGTGAAAAAACCAATGTATTTACATATAATTGCGCCAAATGTGCCAAGTTTGGCTGACTCTGGTAATATAGTGCTCAATATAGAGCTTAATTCGGATGAATTTTTTCTCTATAGAGAGGTTCCCAGTGCAATGTACAGAACCAAACGATCCCCGGTTCATAGACGGATTGTTGGAAGGTGAGCAATTGTTTTTTGCATAGTTAGTCTTGTGATCATTCTCTTTCAGGACATTATAAATCGACATATTTATTTATTAATTCAGTTACCTATTTATCTCTCGACTCTAAATTTCTCCCGTAATTTCGACGGCTTTAGTGAGTTCTGCCGAAATTTTGACGGTATTAGTAAGTACAGAGGCAGAACGAGCCGTGGCAGTAGTACTTCACTCGGCTTTAACGAAACGAGCCATGAAGGACTTTGTTAAGGTAACTGCATGATTCAGTTTATCTGCGACATGCAGACAGTAAGAGGAACTCAACTTTGAAAAGTCGGCAACGGTTTAATCTTTCAGGGGGTAAGTTTCTGAAGAAACTTTGGTGCTACGTCGGTATCAGCTGTCTGCAATGCCATGGTTTAATTTTCGTTGTTTATCTAGTCAAGTGCGACCGAAACAAAACAAAGCTCTTGAAAAAGACTGAAACTGAAACCAAGCTGAATGTTTTCTCGTTCGCATGATTCATACTTCCATTGCAATCTAGGGGCGCTGGTCCAAAGATGTTTACTCGAAAGTAGACAAACGCTAAAAACTCAAAAACATGTACTTGAAGCGAGTTGATAGGCGACAGAAAATAGTATTTAGATCTGGATACATTCAACAAGTGGAGCCGTCAAAGAAAATAATACCAAGCTGAATGTTTTCTCGTTCGCATGATTCATACTTCCATTGCAATCTAGGGGCGCTGGTCCAAAGATGTTTACTCGAAAGTAGACAAACGCTTAAAACTCAAAAACATGTACTTGAAGCGAGTTGATAGGCGACAGAAAATAGTATTTAGATCTGGATACATTCAACAAGTGGAGCCGTCAAAGAAAATAATTTGAGCAATAGTCTTGTTGGTATTCTCTTGGAAGGAAAGATCCCTTCGCGGTGGGTTGCATCCTCATCGAGTCCTATGTGTTTACACTGGAAAGTTTAAGAAATGCTCTGTTAATAGATATCTCTTTGGACTCTTTGAATTTAGTAGAGAGATTGACAAGTTGGAGTTTTTCTGGTGTTTAGCACGTTCTTAACTCCTTTTCATAAAATTGTGAGTTTTAACGTCCAGGTTAAAACGATAGATAAAAACCACCATTATCACTAACTTCTGGTTTATACGTTAGCGTGCGTTCATCGAGATATGAAACACTTGGAAAGTTTGGAGAGCACGTCGGAAGATGCGTAAGGATTGTTTGAGGCAGCCTAGAGCAACCAACTCGAGCTTTTGTGAGTCACTGATCCGAGTTGTTGGTTCTCCAAGTTCTTCGATCCTGTTCTTTGACGTCTAATCCAACCTGGAGCTCACTGAATAGGTTACCGAGAAAGACTTCAATGCCCTTCTCAGACCAAGCGCGGGAAAAAAAAGCAATAGATATATATTTAAAAAAACCCTTGTAGCTTCGGGAATTTGCCGGAAGGGCTCCAGCAATAAACAGCATGCCTTTACACGGGCCTCTCCTTTTACGCGGATTTATAACTGTTCATCATTTCGTCTTTCAGACAAATTCCCAGTCCGCTGCACAGATCGCGACTCTGGTGACGACGACTTCATTTGATCAAGATGGACGAAGAAACCAGCTGGGGGGAACATTTTTTTCACTTAGTTTACAAACCAATTTTCTGATAACATAGACTAACTGCGCAAACACTTTGAGTAGTTCTTTATCACTGAGTTAATTCTTTGATGCCTTGGAGGCCATTGTGGTGTAACTTTCTTTTTGCTCCTGTCCGTGAACTATACACCAAATTCAGGAACATTCTCAGTGTCAAGTACTGTAAATTCGCATTATAACATAGCTAGTAACTTTGTCTGATCAAATTCAATTGCGCGAGCGTGCTTCATATTCCTATTATGCACGCTCATGACGTCAGCAAACAAATCCCTCGAGAAAAAAATTTTCCTTCGGGTTGAAAATGTTATAAAACAGTTGGTTCATACGTCAGCTGTGCGTTCATTGAGACATGAAGCACTTGGGAAGTTTGGAGAACACTCAAGAAGCTAGAGTTGCTCTCGGCTACGCCTCGAGTAACTCTTACGCATCTTTCGTGCTCTCCAAACTTCCCACGTGCTTCATATCTCGATGAATGCACAGCTGACGTATGAACCAATTGTTAATTATATTTAGGCAAAAGTATGACTAGAAAAAGCAGCACAGAAACGACTGCAACACTGCTGTTATTAAGAATGTCCCCTTGGTAGGATATGGATGCAGGGTAAACCTGCAACTTAAAAACTTAAAATTTAATTTAATTTAATTAGAATTAAATTACCATTAAGATGGGTACCACAGTTTGACTGTTTTGTGTAACCTTCAACACAGCTTATTATCCCCATAAATTGGGGCTTAAAAAGTTAAAAGTAAAGTTTATGTATACATCATATGATAATTTGTGGTGGAACTTTGTAAACGCTCTACACATTCATTTACTTCTATATATACCCGAAGAAAACATCAAAAGTTGACCTGATATTCATTTCATCGGATCGCTATTGATTATTTCAACGCCGAAAAAAGGCAACCTTACCGCACGTACAAACCCGATGCATGCAGATGTTAGTGATATCATTTAATGGTCAGCAGTTGAATGCTCCTGAAATCTCAGTTCGAACATGAAACACTGCAGTGCATTAGTATGACTATTCAGATGTACACTGGTTCGGCTAGGTTGTTGTAGATTCCCCTCTGTAGGCTAGATAAGAACCATAGTGACCAAAGAGTTGATACTGAAAGATACAAAGTCGTTGCCTTGATGACGAGTCCATAGCAGTATTTTGCTGTGCGCGTAAAGTAATTTTTCAACAATGGGAAAAAAATTATTTTACATCAAAAGATCAGAGCATTTCTGCTAAACTTGTCCAATAGCGGATCGAACTTTCAAAACCAGCCATGCAACAATTCAATACGACTCCGTTCTCACCTCTTGTTAACGAACTGAATTTGTACATAAGACAGTGCAGATACTAAGCGAAGTCGATACTTAACTGACTCCCGAACATTTCTGAGAAGCAATTTATTTCAAACCAGCTGATAACATCACAAAAGCTAAAGAAATCCTATCGAACAATTACCCGCCCAATCGAATTGCACCTGCATTCGTACGTTCAGCGGATACCTATCGCGAAGCCTTAGTGGACGAGCTAGTATCAGGGGTCAGACCATCAAGTCAAGCTGACGATTTCAAATCATCCTGAGTCGAAGAGCACTGAGCTGACGGCTCTCAAGATTTTTGGAGTGAGATTTTAACCTCAGATTTTCAGCTCAGAAATTATAGAAAAACCATGATTGTTGCGGTCAGTACATCCAGTTAGACCACACTGGGTTCGTAACACCGCAACAAAAAGAAACAAATGTTATGCACTACTAGTGTGTAAAGAAACAAATAAAAGGAACAATCCCTTCTAATACAACAATTGGTATTTAGGTATTAAATACACAAAATATAGCCCAGATAGCTTCATTCGCGGAATGATTTTGCATTTCAATGTTGCCATGACTCCCTGTCCTCACATAAAAGTGAAATAAATCAACAAAAAATAATTATTGTTGACAAATTATACCACCATAACATATATAAATACTATCTCTGTTAAATGCTTAAGTCTCATATCTTCAGTCTCATAAAGTCTTAGATCCATGACAAGGAAAAAAATGCTCACAAAATAGCAGTTTAAGGTAATGATATATCAGATAAACATGAAGAAATTTTTCCTTGTTTATATGTTAACATTAATATATCGTCTTGTCTCCTTTCTTCACCCCTGGTTTGGAAGGGTTCGGCCTAAGGAGAAAGGGTTACATTAATTCTTGCTAATAAATTCAAAAAATTTTTACAGACACTTGCCTTCACAATGGCATAGAAATACACTTATTAATATGTTATAAATGTACCAAGTGATCACTGTTTTCCATGTACATAATCTCATAGGTTTTTTATTTAACCTAATATCAAATTGACAGCATTCCATTTCTCTTTCTGCATTTAATTTCATATTTATGACTAAAATGAAACTGGTCTTGCAGTTTAAGACCTAAACCTTATCTCAATTTTTTAACTGATTTCTGTTCAAAATTGTCCTCACTTCAACATTGTAGCTTTAATCAGTTCATTTTTTTAAATACCTTTCACCAGAAAAGTGTGTGCCTTATCAAAATAATCTCTTTAACTGTCTCTTCTAGCAATTCATTTGCTAAATCGTATTCCTGGTCTTCTCTATTGATAGAATAAACACAAAATGCACTTGTAAAATACCTTTTCTTGCTGTCAGGGTTAGCCGGCTGAAAAACACTTGAGGCTGACATTAAATTTTCAATGTACTGTCCAAGTACCTATTAAATATTGTTGAAATGTAACATGTAACAGAACTAAATTTTTACTGACTTGCATGTGTCAATAGATTGAAAGGCCTTGAAAATACAAAAAAACAGAGATGGATTTTAGATATGTCTTGCAAGAACCCTATCAAAACACATTTAATTGTTTGATAAACAAAAATGATGTGTGACAATTTGATTTAACACAAATCTTCCGATTATAATTCATATTATATATTAATCAAATATATTTTTTGTCAGTATTAAGAAGTTCTCTTGATGTCACACACGTTTGTATGGTGAAAAGAGGACTTTTGTTAAATGGATCATCATAGCACCTACATAGGCAGCCACTCTGAAAGTAGTTACAAGACTTTATGAATAATGCCTTATGATTCAAAAACAACAATAGAGATGAGAAGCAAACAAACAGATTTTAAAAAGTCCAATAAAAATAAAACAAATTCAGAATCATACTTTTCTAGTTATTTGACAGATCAATTTGCCTCATACCTGGTTTTCTGATTTAAGCTTCAGGTTTTCATCCTTTACAGCATCTACTCTCTGGGATAAATCTGGAAAAAAATTCCAAAAGAAATGTAAAAATTCCATATCATTTTCAAATAATCACAAAAACCTTTGGCTAGCAAGTCATTAGACAAAACTCTCTCTTGAACTGACCTTCTAAAGTTTATTTGAGTCAAATCACTTATTATTAAAAAATTTGTTGACCGAGCCAAAACTAGAGGCATCGTGTCACTTCAATCTAAAGCTACCTTGTGAAACTGAACAGAACAGAATCTTCCCCTCTAGCCTGGGATTATTGCGGCAGTGACAATTGCCCTTACCCAACTTCAATCTCCATTGCCAAAATAATATTTCAGGGTATTTGTGCTTTATATTTTTCACAAGAAATCATACATAATTTCGGTCAACCTAAACAATTCTTACTATTTATTTTGTCATGAATGGAAAGCCTACACATATTTTGAAACAGAGAAACAAAAAGAAAAAAATATTAGAAAAATTAAAGAATGTCATGGGTAACAATAATTAAAAAACCATGACAATACAAAAAGTCCTCTGAACCTTGGATTTCTTGAGTACTATAATTAGTACGACCACTTCCAACATAATTCCCCATCACCTTAAAAGAAGTTCCCTGTTCTTCCAAACATGTAAGTACAAATTTATTTATATTCCTGGAAGAAGAGGGGCATTTGGGCAATCCTTGTGGCAAATGTGTAATTTTTTTAAATTTCTCACAGTTAGGTCTTATATTGCTGAACACTAATTCTTTTCGTTTTTACATGTATCATTTCCAAACAATTATTTCCACACTTTAAACGACTAATTTTCTTTAATTTGTGTCCTTGTAAAATTTTTTCCTATAAGTGGTTCATGTCTAATATATTCCCACAGCATTTGGTAATTTTTCATCTCATGGCATCTTTGCATTTATTTTTCCTATATTATATGTTAGTATAGTTTTGTAAAAGTCCTTTTCTTTTGCTCCTTAGGAATTTACTTCTTCTTCATCTGTATTAAAGAGTAGTTAAATTGAATGCTGAATAAACACCTTTGATTTATGTGGGACCATGCCTCTTCCACAGTGATATAGAGGACCCCACTAAGGCTCTTAACAGGACCAACTGATCTTTCCTCCTCGTGGAAGTTTGCATGTCCCTCATTTGAAAGACTCAACAAAAACTTTTTGTATATGCATGGCACTCAAACTCACCATCAAGAGTGTTTTGAAGCTCAAGTACTTGACTAATAAGGCGCTTTTTCTCATCTGCTTCATTTTCTTCATCCTCTGTTACATCATCTAGAATGAGAATTGAAATAATGCTGTCTAGATGACTACATACAATTTAGAAAAGGGAAAAAATTACTAAACACTGGTATGTCTACACAAGTCTGTCAAAGTCACATTTACTGATTGAATTCTTAACCCTATGGTAATTTAGTAATTCTCTTTACTGTCTGCCTATAGTTCTTGTGATGTTAGTTTGGAGAATTTGGTATTGGATCAACTAATAATCGCCAAATTGATATTTTTCTTTATTCTCACCACTTGTCTGGTTGATAGTACAGTGAAAAGTAAGGGGAAATTATTCTTGATCACTCATGGGAGTTAAAAGGTTAAGAGTGGCTAGTATCTAACTTCTCCTAAGAGTAATACTGCTGAATCGTTCGTTAAGAAATTCGTTGAGAAAAAAACTAGGAAATGATCACCAATCAATGAAGCTTTGATTGTCAGACACATTCTCCTTGTAAGTAACAAAAGACAATGTATAAAGATGAGTAACAATAGAGAATATAGAATACTGATGTTAGGGTGTAATTAGGGTTAAACTGAAAAGGGTTAAAGATTGGAATAGACAAACAAATTTCAGTGGGAAGCTTAAATACTGATAGAACTTTGAGGCAACACCAGTACCAGTTTGAGGACATTTATTAAGTCCCACAATTTCCAAAGCTAGAACTTTCAAAGATGTTCAACCTGCAAGGTAGACTTTTACCTTGTAAGGCATCACCTTCTCTTCCTGCCTTAGAATTGTAGCTTGGTTGATTTGGATAATGACTGCTTGTCCCTAGTCAAAGACGAACCACAAAAAAAAAAAAATCAGTTTCACAATAATTATTAAAATTATCAAATACAAAGAAAATATGCTGTAACTTATATCACATTATTACAAAATAAATGTGATCACAATCTCATATAGTTAGTATGGGCAAATTTTAAAATGCACTTTACAGAAAGAAAAAAACAACAATTATATGTAAATAAATTAAAAAACACACTCATGCTTTGCTGAAAAAGGATAAGAGATCCTCCTCCACTTGTAATTGATTGGATATCACCTCCCCTGTCTTCCCTGCTCTAGTTTGTTGATAACACTTTAACTCCTATTAGTGATTAAGAAGTAACCTCTCCCTACAATATCCATACATTATCCAGCAAAGAGTTAATGAGAATACTCAAACTTATATCAAGTAGAGTTTGTTATCTTGATCTATATGTTACAACCAGTTCTCATAACTAATTTGCTAGGAACTGTGTGGCAGCTAGATGGGAGAATATACAAATAGATCTTGGGTTAAACCTCTATATGCCACTGAGAGAAAAAAAATAACACTGAAAGACTCAAGATGAGGTCTTGCCAAAGAGAAGTCCATCCAATGATTCTCTTTAATCAGCCTCAGAATCAGTCCTCTTGACCCAGTTTTCAGAGAAGTAAATCATACTCAACTGCCCTTGAAACTCCAAAACATTTACTACAAGTTTTAATTAAGATAACCTTGATGCTATAGCATACACAAGAGAGCACCCACATCTAAAATATTTTTTGTATAATTAAATCCAAATATCCTTTAGGTGATGACTATTGTCCGCAATTAGTTCAAGCTTTTTTCCACCCTTTTTTGCCTTTCATCAATTGATCAATGACTTACCCTGAATAACAACGACACAATAATACAAAAATTCAGAGGACGACAAATCACTTAATATGTGAAGGGAACAGATTCACGTTAATTAGGCTTCTTGCGAGATTGCGATGATTTTCAATCACTGCATCAGTACGTACGGACCTCGATAAACCCGTAAACATCCCGAATATTTCATTACTTGTAAAGCAAGCGAACTTTGCTTTAAAATACCTAAAAAGAAGGATGAAAGGTTTTACACGAAGCTTGAAAAATCTCAACTTCTTTCAAGTAGAGATACTAACCGAGTGATGTCTCATCATCGGATGACAAGGGAATCGAAACCATCTTGGCCTCCCCTTTACCTTCTTGCTCACTACCTGACATGGTGGTGAAGATTCATGAAATTTTCACACTGAAAAACAGCAATTCCTATACAGCAAACAGATTACCGTCGTCGTTTCGACGGTAAACGACAATCTGCGCCCATAGCTCAACTGACAAGCGGTTTTCAAAACATTAGTCACCAGTCTGTTTCCACTCGTTATCCTTTCACTTTCTCTAAAATGGCGGAAGAAGGCGCACTGTATAAAGTCTCTATTTTGCTCGACGGTTATGGTTACACAGACGAGGAAAACAGATATAGAGCTAATGGAACAAGCACTTTAATCACTGGGCCCAATAACAGAATAATCGTGGACACGGGAAGCCCAAGGGATAAACAACGTCTGCTTGATAAACTGAAACACCTCGGTCATGCACCAGAAGAAGTAAACTTTGTGGTCTGCACTCACGGCCATATAGATCACGTTGGAAATTTGAACCTGTTTCCGAACGCTGTCCAAATGGTGTCTCATGATATATTGCAAGAGCAGGATTATTACGCCGATCTTCCCGAAAATTTCGACAAAGGAACACCGTATTGCATTGATGGTGAAACTGTCCAGGTTATTTCTACTCCAGGACACACGTTCTCAGATGTAAGTGTTGTGGTAAGAAGCACTGATTATGGAACAGTTATTGTCTGTGGAGATCTGTTTGAACATGAAGATGATGAGAATGTGTGGGAAGAATACAGCGAATGCCCGGAGAAACACAAAGAAAGCAGGGCTAAAGTGTTAGAGCTGGCGGACTGGGTTATACCGGGCCATGGGAAAATGTTTAAGGTGAACCAACCGAAACGATAAAGGGTGAAGAAAGCTAACAAGCGCGGTGGGACGGCGGGGTGGGGGGGGGGGGTAGTTCCTAGTGATACAAAATAGATCAGGGGGGATGTGCCACTGGATAGGGTCGCATTTTTCATGACTAGATTGACTACAATGAGGTTGCATTTTCAATAGTTACTAGCTTGGGGATGCATATTTTTGGAATTTTTGGGGTAAGAAATCAGTGTTCTATTTCCAGTTTAACATATGCATCAATTTAATTTAGGATTTATTAGATTTAAATGCTTTACATGGTTTATGCATAAACGGAAAGTGACTAGATTGGGATTGCAAACATTGCATTTTCCAAAAAGTGACTACAGTAAGGTCTATAATGGGCCACAGAATTGACTATAGTAGGGTAGGGGTTCTGAGAGGCCAGAGGCACATACCAAGCAAATTTGACTCAAGTACCCCTCCCCTTCCTCCCACCCCACCCTTCCTGGAGGAAAATATGGCTATCAAGCTTGTGAAATTGGTGAAAAAAGAGGATAAAATCTTAAGGAATTTAAAGATATTAATGTTAAAGTAACTAACAGTATTATGCTTGCCCTGCTTGCTAACTCCTAAGAGGTGCTTTGTGTACACAAGAGTATACTCGACTTCACTTAGATGTGTAAGATGTGCAAACAGCGTTAATTGTATGCCAAGCATACAGGAAGGTGTCATTTGAAAGAGTTAGTAGACTCTTGGGATTAACTTGAAAATATATTGTCCACTTGTATCTATAATAATAAACAATTGTTATAACTTATTGCTATGTTGCTGAGGCTTCACTGTTCAAATTTGAGAAGAAAGTAATATGTAATCCTTCCTTCAACAGGCTTCTAAATATAGAATTCTCTTACTTTACACTTGTACTCTACAAATTTTGATTTTGTTGTGAGTACCTTTGTATCAATTTAGGCTGTTTCAAATATCACCTTGTTGTGTTTTAGTCTAAAATAAATGAAATTCAGGTTTGCCAGTGATGGAAATAGGGAAATAATAATGACAAATAAATAACTTGCAATATAAGAAAGCTAATTAAATGATAAACTCTCTTCACTTCAGCAGTGTGTAGAAAATAGGCACCATCAGAGGAGTGAAAAAATGCCAGGGGTAACCCAGTATGGACCTGAAAGTAATATTTCTGGATGCCTTTTACAATTCTTATGAGGTCAGTTTGGAGAATATGCTATTGGATCAACTAATAATCCCATAATTGGTATTATAATACATTAGCCTTACTATGAAAACTCTGATTGGTTGAGACCAAACAGTCAACCTACAATAACATGTGAAGTCAACATGGTAACCCAATATTGGTTCAAAGTCTGCCCAGTGTCCAAGCCCCTTGATCATGTCGTGTTCTCAAACTGCGCAAACTCAGACAGAAGAATCTTCTTTTGCAGACTGTTCAAAAAATGTACAATAAAACAATTGTTGAATTCAGTTTTTGCATGATATCATAAATTATTAAACCTTGTGTTTGTGTTATCTGCCTCAGCCTACAGCTTTATAACAACTCAGACCTTGGCATTGATAATTCATACATATGATATCAAGCTCGACCCCATTCAATAATTGCTTATTTTTCTTTGTTCTCCACATTTGTCTGCTTGATATTGTTTTGACAATGTGAGGAGAAATTCGGTCTCAGTTACTGATGGTTTCAAAGCTGTGGTGTGTGGGAATGTGCTGGTCATGTAAAAATCACCTCATTTCCAAAATGCATGATTACACAATTGACTTTCATCTTTTTCTCAGAGTCCATTTTGCCTGTGTGGGAATATCAATGCGGGCTAACAATTGGTGGGGAAATTTTTCTGTGGATAGCCCATGACACGATAAGATTGTCTTAAAAATGAAGACTCTTAACCACACTTGATTAAAACTTAATTTTAGATGAAAGGTTGGTTTTTATATGCATTATTATTTTTTTGTTGTTGAACAATTCGTAGAAACAAAGCTATGCGATGAACAGGTTTTGCAAACTTGCCCTAAAAGTTAAGGCGACTCCTTTTCCCGCTTACATTAAGCTAATTGTAAAGCCGGAAGTCGCGAATCAAACAGAAAATGGAAGAACTAAAATGCAATTTTCTATTGAACCTTGAATATGAATACAATACAAAAATAAACAAAATAATTTCACTGTTTCGTAATTTGTATAACTTAGTTCTTTAAACCTACAGCCTGAACACGAGTGGCAATCATTTCTCTATGAAAATTTGAAATTCATTCCTTTCAACTGTTATCTAAACCACATCAGAAGCCATTCACACTGAATTTTACGATGAAAACATGAGAAATCAGGAAAAGCGTCGATTCGTCAGCTCTCTTGTTACAGATCGAAGGTCGTAGCGACAGAAGATGTCTTCCTTTTTACAGCTTGAGCAGGGTCCGTCTTGGAAATTTTGATTTTCGGGTACAGTAATCATCTTGAAACAAAGGAAAGTAGAGATCTATAAAAGTGGTGTGTTTCTTCTAGCTCTGTTCGTGCATCACTTCTCGCATTCTGTTCAAACAAACTACACTACATCGATACGTCTTGGTAAGATAAATCACGGCTTTGGCGATTTTCACACACTAGAACAGAACTTAACAACCAGCTCGTCCATGAACCATGTTACTAGCGGCTGTATAGGGCAACTTAACGCCGTGTTCCATAAGAAAGTTTGTAAAGTCAGTACACGGGGCACAACAAGCAGCGAACGGTGAAAATATCGCATACAATACCGCAGCCAGAATTCCTAGAGGCCAGGCGAGGACAAGCAGAATGATTAGCCACACAAAAGACCAAAGCCATCCGCAATTCGCAGCCATTTTCTAACAAGAAATGAAGTACTTCGACTCAGACGGTCGGTTTAAAATTCTCAAGAGGAGAAACTGACTAGGCGTGGAATGTAAAGAGAAACTTGATATTCACGGATACACCCACAAAGAAGGCTGGGCCAGCCGTGTTTTGCATACTGTACTTGCCAATATATTTGGCAAAGAACAATTGCTAACAATCAAATATTGTCACGCAATCTGCTTTAGTGTTCCCTTTTTCCCTCTGGAGCCGATAATTCTCACAAAACATTCGATAATTCTCACAAAACATTCGATAATTTTCGAAACCACGGGGAGAGGCAAGGACGGCAATTGTCTTGCGACACGAAAGTAATAATCGCTGCCTTGCGGAATATAATGTTTAAGCTCACAGGCTTAATTTACAATACAAATTTCCCTCGGGTTGACAGGAAAGAAAATTGATCTTAAAATAAACTGGTTATGTTAGAAACCTCGAATAAAGTTTTATAAAGAAGATTTTATTTTCAAAGTTTGTAATATTAGCTAGTAGATCGCGTGTCATGTGAGATGACGTCAGGTGTCAAATTAGAAGAGTCACGCAATCTTTGAAACATTTTCAACGGCACTGACTGGATTTATAGGGTAAAGGAAAAATGCTGTTATACTTGAGCTCGCGTTGTCCAGTTTTAATCAATGGGTGTAAAGTTGGGTGTAGGCACAATATTTCTTTGGAATGTACCAACCCAGGCTCCTGATAGCGTAAATTTGCGCTCCTTCCGTTGGTTAGATATTGTAATTAGCTGAATAGAAGTCTTTGGGAAGTCATTCCCGTTGAAATTAAAGGGTGTCACTTAGTGGGATACAAACTTTGGAAGTAAAATTTAATTTTCTAACACTCTGAAGTTCCATTCTACCACGTGATTTATAGGCTGTCTTAGCTTCAAGACGCAACCACGTGTCCCGATGTCATGCGAGCCTGAAAGGACTGAAAAATAACAAGATAAGAGTGAGTCTTCGAGCGAAGTCGGTTTTGGGCGCAAAAAATGAGGAAAAAAAATCCTGAACTGAAAAAGCTAGACTTTTGGGTTATTATTGCTAAAGGATTGGCACCTAACGAACAGAAATGCATTCACGCCAGCAGAGCCGAGAACATCATTGAAATTGACGAATCACCGATTCAATAAACTGCCATCCGTTATATTTATATTTTATTATTACGCGCGTCCTCGATCATCGTCAAAATAGAGCATGCTAAAGCCTTGCGTCCTGTAGCCACTTTGTTTATTTCTATCATATTTAGACGTTTGCGATGCCGTCAAGGACCACTGCAACACAAAGGTCCAGAAAATCAAATTTTTAGAAAAAGTGCACGAAACTCTTGACGTGCCTCAATTTATAAAATGATACAGATTGGTGACAGCATTGGAAATAAAAGGTCGTTTGAAACCAGGTGTTATCAGTTAAATTGAATGAAAAAGGTTCAAGGTGCCCAGGAAAGTGCTCTAAGTATATGCAAAGAATGTCCGAAGTGTTATCAGCGCAGTGCTGTTTATGAAGATAATTTGGAAGGACTGATGGGTCAGTATCTAAGCAACTGCGCCCCCTCCCCTCCCTTAACCCAAAAAATGGATAACAAATTAATGTTGTCAATGCTAAAGTTAATGTTGGTTAGGGGAGGGGTAGGTGTGTAGTTCCTAAGATACTAACATGATCCAAAAGAATGAGGATGTCGATCGGTTTGGACTTTTCTGATTAGTTACCAGTCCTTTCCAGGAGTTGAAAGATTAGTGACTGAAGCCGTAATTTTCCGACGGGTGTTGCATTCACCGCTATTGACGTCAAACCCGTTCAACCTAACAAAAATTTGTCGCTTGTCTAAGGGTGCCATTTGCGTATCATACGAAATCTCAAGGAAAGGTGCGATATCATGAGAACTAAAACAGCCTGGGCAATGAAGAATTCAAGCTGCGATCTATTGACAATAGGCTCCGTATCAAAGTCAACATGTAGATTTATTGCTCATTATTGAGTGTTTACATAATTTGCATAGTATTCAATTCTACCAAGAGCGTTTTCTGAAGTGTCTGACGGAACATAACTCGTCCAATCGTGTTCGGAAACAAGATAATAAGTTATCACCCTTTGCATATGAAAGACCGTAAAAGTGAATGAATTTCACAAGTCTCCTAATTCCCATATCTGTGTTATCAGACCATCATATAACATCATTTGTTTACATATCGAGGCGTCTATAAGACTAAATATTTTCATAGTGTTGACAACTCAATTTCGACTTTAACTTCGTTTCCTCTGGTTACGATAGTAAAGAACAGAATTATCAGAAAGCCTGTAGTTTGCTCTCCAGGGAGTTTGTTATTTATGGCGCTAAATTACTAACGATTACAAGTTTGATAGTCAATTAGGCGAACTTAAAGGCGATAGAATTCAACCCGTTTCAAAGGGTCAACATGGCATGTCACATAAAAGCTCTCAAGTATTCCCAGGTGATATTGTTTCTCAGTTGACAATCACTCCATTTCGCTCGCAAGTCGAATCATCTTAATAAAACAAATTCCCCATTTTATCATTCAGCGTTTGCCATGATGGCAGGTATGAAGACCTCGTAGCTAATTTCTCCTTTTGAGCTGACATGGCCTGACGACAAAGCATCGAATTCTTCATCTGTGAGTTTCTCGCCCAACGAAGTCAGAACATGACGTAGCATACTGGACGAAATACTACCGCTTCCCTCCCGATCGAAGTGTTTGAAACAATCCACAACTTGTTCAGGACTCACACTTGATACACTTGTCATGTGCTGCGCAACGGAGTTGTAAATCGGCAAGAATTCTTCGAAAGAAACCGTCGACTTGCCAACATCTCTTTCCACTTTCTGGACTTCGCTCTGTGTGGGATTCAACCCTGTCGCTCGCAAAACCTGACCGAGTTGATTCACGTCAATTTTGTCCCCTCCTGTAGTGTCATACAGTTGGAAGATATCTTTAAGCATTCCTTCGTCCTTCAACACTGGTTTTTTGCTCATTTTGACACCGCCCGAAAAACTCTGACGCTCCTTTAGTGACGATCGGAGTTAAGAATGCCGTTTGAAGCTTACGTTAATTAGTAGCGATTCACGTGACTTGATTCAAGTGCCTGGTATTCCTTATATTAAGCACTTTACTTAGGAAAGTCTGAACTATTCATGAATAAAAATCTTGTCACGATCAATTCGCGTGCCAGTCAACTTGTGTAACTCAACACCTACACAAGGCTGGTCACGCCATTTAAAGATCTCGTTGCGAAGGAACCAGTCATCTTTTATTCGGGGGGGAGGAGTGGGGGGAAGGAGTGGGGGGGATCACATGGTTTTCAGGGAGAGCGGAAGGAGACTAGTCGTCGCCAGCAGAGTATAAATTTAAATTATTTAAAGTATTTAAATTTTTGTTATAAAATATAATCATAATTGATTGCCAACTACCAACTAACTACCAGTGAGGGGTCGGGATCAGAAGAGCCTGAGCGGGGAGGGGGGGGGGAGAAGGGAATTAGGGGAATTAGGTAAATTTTATTGCGACACAGCAAAATCCTCCAACCCCCCTTCCCCAGACTAAAAACAATGGCCGGTCACTAAGATGTAAGAGAGACAGTAGACTCGCATGGATCATGGATGAGATGGTTTTGGTTTTGATTAAATGCTTAGTTCCGGTTTAATTTACTAAATATGTAAAGAACGCTAATTATTGCATTTAATTAAAATTATTGCCCAGAGTCCACAAATGAAAGATCAGACAACGGTGTTTCAATTATAAGGCTCGACTAACAGCCGCAATTCGTAAGATAAGCCAGTGCCCCTTCCCAGAGCTGCATCCGAGATAACGGCGGAAATAAACGAACAACTCCAAGTTCGTGTTCTCGAGTCCAGCCCTGGATCCTCTCTTCCAAAGGCAACAGGGCGCTTATCTCGATCAGCAGCTGATAACGCAACATAATGTGGCTCTTTTTTAGGTATTATTCCACTTTCCAGTAAATTGACATGAATGTTCCGCTCCTTTCGATGACACCACTTTATGTAGCTTCACTGTCTTCTCGCGCGTAGGTCGGTCGACGTTTTTGAGGAATCAGTCTTTCAATAATTTTCAGTTAGTTTGAAGGTAACTGAGCCTTAAATGCAAACTGCGCAAAGAATGACCCAGAAATTATCCCTTTCCTCTACATTTTTTTCTTTCTCTTCAGAATCGGTTTCACCCCTGTTTAAAGGGCTCGAGGCCCACTGTCAAGCGGCCTTGAACATACTTAGCTTCAGTGACCAGGGGGTAAATACTCCTTATAATATCAATGCACCACCGAGCAGAACAAAGGCGCTAAATGGTGTTAACCGTTAGCCGTAAGACTGCAAAATTAAATCAGCCGTTAGCGTAAAAATTGACAAATTTTAATCCTTGGCTCGAAAAAGAATTCAACTTATTTTTCAAGGTATTGGAAAGAAATTAACCGTTAGCCATGAAATGCCCAAAATTTTAACCGTTAGCAGGAGCAAGTAAAGCAGTGGGCTCCTGCCGTTAGCCGTAAGAGCCATTACTTCATTGACACCCTCAGATTAGTAATGACTGAATTACTAAAAAAAAAATTTTCTAGAGGGAACTACAGCAGTAAAACGAATAGCCGTTGAGATCTTCCGTATCAGGAAGGGCTGAACCCCAGTGATGCCTCTTGAGTTGAGGCCCTTCCCAGATTGTATTTTTCCTTGGATGGTTCTTAACTCGCGCAGTTCCTTTCTCCATCTGGTGTAGATGGAGAGAAGATAGCTACCAAAAAAAATTTGTAAAATGTACTGAAAGGTCACCTAGGATCCAAGAAAGGATAGAGCGTAAGCTGCAACAAGACGGGAAGTTAACTTTTGTATAGTTGAACAAATGACTGAGTTCTCAGCACTTTTTTTTTTTTTTTTAAGACTGATAACTTAAAACCTCTCTACATGTTACCACTTTGCCGCCGTCAAAAAGAATCCATACAAGAGAAAATATGAAATGGCACTTTGTGGGAAGATCAAATACACCTGAACCTCGCAAACGTACATTCTCCAAAGAGAAATCCACCGACATAGGAGAATTAGATAGTCGAATTTCCGAACAGTTTCTCAAAGCCGAAAAAATTAAGCCCGTCAGATGCACAGGTGTGTGAACCATTTCATCTCCAATCACTCGTCGCTATTTGCTGTCACTGAGTCGGATTGCAAAATAACAGAAAAACTTACTCATTTTCCAAAAAAATCTGAGCAGTTTTTCACCGATCCTTAATAGTTCTTAACTTTTTAAATCATAAACTGTCACCAAATGGTGCCAAATAAAATGTTCATAACAACATGTAAAATTTTACTTTGTATCATTTCACAAATAAACCTATTTATTTACATAGTTAAATTACAAATATTATAATCCTTCGCAATAAAAGCATTCTTATAACTTAAATAACCTCTTAATTCAAAATAATACCCGCAGGTAATAGAGCGATTAAAAAAACTTTTAAATGATACTGTAACAGTTAATGGTGCTGAAAGTTACACAACAAAGAAAGAAACTTTCTTTGCTAAATACAAAAACAGATTTCAGCACAACACGAAATTTAAATCTTTGGCATGTTTACAGCGTAGTTTCATCACAAGAGAAAGAAAGTTCTAAAAAACTCTAAAATAACTCTATTACACCAATTTTTGCATGTAGCTTAAAAATCAGGTGCACGAGCAATAAAAATTGAACACGGATGCATGTCATTAGGAACCAGTCATAATGTCGCCTGGGGAGACAGAAGGTCGGAGAATTCTGGTGGAATCTTGCCTTGGAGAGGATCATGTAAATTTTTATTACAACACAACCAAACTCCCCTAACCCCCGCCCCCCCTCTTCCTCGCGACGAATAATGACCAGTCCCTTATATAGATTAGAAAGGATGCTTGAGCTTTCCTATCCTTACGTATCTGCTGGTGAGTTATGACAGTCAAAAGTCACCAGTTCAGTGGTCAGTAAGATTATTGCTCTTCTCTGAAGCGCGCTTTAAAATCTAACCCCCCTCCAGCCCCCAAAAATATCAGCTGGCCTCGTAAAAAGACAAAATCGTTTGTGACCAGGGTCCCCTGTCATGGGCACGCTCCAAGGCAAGCTATTTGTGCGCTCTACAAATTGGTTCCTAACTCGCGTAGAATCTCGGACAGAGATGGTCCAATGTCAGTATTATTATCGGGAAACACAACAGCATGACCCGCGTCTTCTTGTATCTCAGCCATTAAACACGCTTCTAGATCAAAATTGAGAAGATCAAAGAGACGCGAAGTTTGCTGCTCTAGAAAGCGCGATGCATCCAGTCCTACAAAGCCTGATGTATCCGAGTCAACCTCGGGTGATGTTCGGGTTTCTGATGTGGACTCCTCGTCCGAAGATGCGTCGCTATCAGGCATCATCTCAGGTAATGAATGCGCCTCGAGATCTGAATCAAGAAGTCCTTGACAACGAGCAGAATACGCTCTTCCATCCTTATCGCTGATTGCTACTGTCCAATGTTCGTTCGAATATGCATATGATTTGTAAGCGCTATAGAAATCCTTCACCATCACTTCCTCAAAAACGCACTCCTCACTGTCTGCGTCCTGTTAGAATATAGATAATGATGAAATTAAAATGGTTTATTTGTATTTATTCACCTATTTATTCATTTATTAGCGATATATAAACAGATTGGCCCAGTTCAGCTTCAAAGCTGGTTCACATGGGGGCCTGGATAAACAACAAGGAGGCCAGACCACAACACCGGGAGCCACGTTCTTTACTCTTTGCAAGAAGTGTATGGGTTTTCTAATGTTCTAAGTTATTTTCATAAGAGATCTACGTTTTATATCTAGACTCACCGTGGCGCGAAGAGTTCCAGAATCATCGATTGTAAGAAAGAACTCGGTTTCTACTCCTGCGATTTTCACTAAGCCGGCTCCCACAGAGCATATTTCTACGATTGCTGTCAAATGGAAGAAAACACGTTAGTTAGGAACTCTGTCATCTAATTTATCTCAATTAACTTAGAGAAAAGGTAACATAACATGGAATTGACCTCTGTAGCTGATTGGATTGTACATGCTATGGAAAATATTAGATTTGATAATGAAGTCCAAGAGCCGCGAGTTTAAAGATGAGCAGGCGAGTTAAATGTAAGTTAGGATCCTCGCTCTTCTAAAGACCGAGACAGCGACTAAGAACGAATCAGGTCACAAGCACAAGAAAAGTTGTAATTAAGGGACCATTCATTATTTATCGTCGATGGGAGAGGATATGGTCAGAGAATAGGAGGGAGAATCATATTGGTTCTAAAGGGGAACGGAGGGAGGATTAGTCGTCGTCAACAGAGTCTGAAGAGAAGACTAAAGAAACTGACTGCCAACTAACTGCCAAAGCGGGAGGGTCAAAAGAATATCGCAGAGGCTTATGGGTAATCAGGTCAATGTCATCAAGACACAACCAAATCCCTCCTTCCCTAGCTCTCCCCAACTGATAAATAATGCCTGGTCGAGAAAAATCATCTGGTTAGGTAAGTGACCTTGGTCTGATGCAGACGAATTTTGACATCGCGGTAGTCTGACTGCGTTTCCGGCTTAAAATAAGCCTTACTAATATGTCCCAAAAGTTACTTGTCAACAGCTGTGATAGCAATGCTTAAGAGATACATTGATATAAACCATTATGAGCATTTTAAAGTACTGACAGTTTTAAAATGGTTTGCATCCGAGTACAGCAGTCGATCATGCAGCAAAATGTGTACATTGAGGGTAGTCCTAGAAAGCTTACTGTCGGTGTCAGTGATAGCCATATATTTCGACTATCTTAGCAACCATTCAATATTTAAATCGCCTGGGGTCGGGAGGAGGGGGATATTGGCTGTGTCACGGAGGGTTGTTCAATACACTTAAACCGCTACAATTCGTCAAAGGGCATGTACGGAGGGGTGTCACGATAACATTCAACTGATCCCCCCATAAGGCTTTGTAATATTTCCATGATCTCTCTTCATTGGCAGTTTATAGGAAGTAAATTTTCTATAGCAGCCCTCTCACTGCTCAGTTGGCGACGACTGATCCCCTCCTATATTCCCCTCCAAAACCGCGTGATCCTCCCTCAAAATCCTCCACCCCCCCCCCCCTCAGTAGTAATTCCCTCACCAAGAACGCTTTTTGTCAGTCAAATTTAATTACATTCGAATGAAAAAATTGTTGAGTGTTCCAATCTGTGGTGTTGTTGTTGGCTGCAGAACCTAAGCAGCTTTCGTCAAATGCAATCCATCTAATGTTGACATCCGCTCAGGTTGTCCAAACGTCAGTCTTCATTACAGAGAATAGTCCAATTCAAGGCTTCCCTCAACAATCGATCACGTACTTTTTTTTTTTATGGAGTAAACAAAGCTACAAAATGTAAACTTACCATAAGGGCAATCTTTCTGCTTTGTTCCTTTGACACTACCATCCGGTTGAATCGTTAAATAATAGCCACTGCGGAAAAGTAGCCTTCGCCTCCTGCCACATCTCCTTCCCATGAGAAATTCGCAGCAATCCTCAGCGTTTGTATTTCTAGCGTGCTTCTCCCTCCATTCCAACGGCGAGAGGGGTGGTGTCCTTTTATTCCACTCTCTCTTGAGCAGCTCTTCCCAATCCGTGTGGCGAAAGGGATGTGCTTTGGTCCTCATCCGGTAATTTCCTCGTCTGGAACTTCTTGGGAATGGGTGAACAGGTATAGGCATCTGTCTTTTTACTTCGCAAACGGTGTTGTCGTAAATACTTGTCATCCTGTGAGACTGCCGAGAGAAGAAGAAGATTAAAATATATTTTTTTTTTTGCAACCTGTTCTATGCTACATATGTAAATCACCGCGAGCTGTCGAGGCTTGTAATGTAAAGCAGTCTAATTCCACGAAACCGCACAACTGGGCTATCAAGTTTCAGAGGTAATAATTTTCAGTGTTTCACGTCAATAGACAACCATTTCGAGCCGAGTAGGAATTTTGATCGATGACTGGCTTCTAATCCAAGATCTTCTTTCAATCAGGAGACCCAATCCCGCTGGCCTTTTTGAACAATAGCAAATCAAACGTGAGTTATCCTTCTGCTTAGAGAAAGCTCGTGGTTGTCGCACCAAGTCGTGGGGTTCGCCACAACGCGGAATAAAGGAAGATTTTGCCGCCATCAACATAGCCAAAATTGCCGGTGGATTGTGAAAAAAAAACCTATGTAAAGAAGGGCATTGGAGCATGTCTCACCACTTAACAAGCACCATACCAGCCAGTTATGCTTAGTTCGAAATAGTTCTTGCCGAATGCGCGAGGACTCCCAATGCCAGCCTTTTAAGCAAAGACCGGCAGGACAAACTCGTTTGCAAGCTGACTCAAATTAACCTGATCACTGCAATATTGTGTTTTTTCATAGTTTACCTTAAAATAGATATCCGAGTGTTTCTGACGTTTATAATGATTGTGTGAGACGAGAAGGTATTGTTTCAGGCCGTACTACTTGATGGACCATCATTGATAAAACACGCGCATTAATTTAAAGCTTACGATAATCTGGGGATACCACTGACTTTATGGAAAAGGATCTATCGAAATTCTCTTTAATAGCACGTTTTACCTACACTTTAAGCATGTTGCAAAGAAGCTCAAAAAAAGATCTGACTAAAAATAGGTAAAGCTCGACTGAGAATAGAAGAACATCAAAGTTAACCGTGTTTATCATATGCCATTCCGAGATTCAGAGGGACATAAGAATATTTGTTTGTGTGTAATCCTTCTGTGTTAAAACTTTAGCCACTATAACTAAAACTCAAGACGTGCTTATCAAACCGAAAGAACAAAAGGAAAAAATCCGGCTCGAGCCGATTTCGCTTCTTAGAGTTTGTGTCACGGAAACGTTACGATATTGTAAAGCATAAAACAAAATCCGAAAGATACGGCAATGCTAGCTACCGAACGAAATATAAATTGTTGATTGTAAAAACGAAGCTAGATTTCGCACATAAAAAGTATTAAGATATTATATTTATACTGAGGTTCACCATAGAATAATTATAAGTGATTAAAAAAAAAGACAATTTACCTTAGAGATCCACTAACGTTTCTCTTGTTATTCGGGGTTTTTTTTAAGTGAATGTTTTAGTCAATGTGGTTAAAATGTCTTTCTTACAACAGCAAATTGTGCAATTAACATTTTTCTGTGAATCTTTGCCTTTTGGTCAGAAACCACTCGTTATAATTTAAATACATGATTTCCCATGTCTCAAGCCTTGATACGTCAGTTAAAACAATTATTTATCACATACTTCAAGCCATCAATCATCAACTGTCTATGTTAAACGTTTTGAAACAAATTTCGATCTTTAAAAGCTTATTTCTGGTTGTTTTTACTTTGCAATTTTCGAATTCTACCCATCATCAAAGTGTTAGTGAGAGATGAGGACTTTGTCACATTTTAAAACGCCCGCAAGAGATTTCGTGCGAAGGCGGGATGTTCTGTTTCGTCGAATCACCACTCGGCCGTTAAAAAATGTGGCCTTGAACCTAAGGAATGGCCCACGCCAGACGCAATCAAAGCAGTATTCGTGAAAATTTTATGAATAAAGAGACTAATGGCGCCATTAGTAAGTGCTATTTTGTGTGTAAAGGGAAAGAAATACTTCTATTCTAAATGCAAAAACAATTCTTGCCATCCTTGTAACTGTTAGTTCCGAGATAAGATCGAATTTCCGAGTGAAACGATATCTATATATATGAGAATGATGAGCACTTGTGAAAAATATTACTACAAGTGCATACAAGTACAAAGGCACGTACCAGCTTCAACCGAGTGTTACTAAACTCAAAGGCTATTGGAAGTAATAAGACAATTAATATTAGTATATGTCTACATTTGTCCGTTAAAATGACAGTTTTTCTAAATTTTTTACCTGTTTTAGAATTTGGACACTTTCTGGCAACGTAATATGAAAAAAAAAGTTGTGACGATGTTTGGGGTCGGAAGTGTTTTCGACAGAGGTAACATGCTTTGTGCACGTGCGGAAAAGATAGCACTTTTTGATCCCTAACGTGACGGAAACAAAGGATATAAAACGATTAGGACTATTTCAATGATGTTGAAGGGCGTCACAGGTATAACGAGTTGAAATCATTTTATTGGTATACGGATTTGAATCGAGGCAATTCTGTAAATCCAAATTATATTTATTGGTTGTACTCTATAAGTGGCTGACAAAAGAAACATTTATTCGTCAAACAGTTGACACTACATTGCAGTACATATAATTAGTGTTTGATAAATTGGATCACAATATTCAAAGTTTTAGACAAATGTCTTGTATGCACTTGTTAGTATAAGCAGTGTCAAAGTGACCCTTGTAGTGACAACTCGAGATAGTAAATTTTGTTTTAAGTCGTCCATCAACGAAAATTCCCGTTTCATTATTTGAAATTTTATTCGAAATAAATTGTATCAACTAAAAATGATTTATAAGGCTTTGAAGACCGAGGAGGAGGCCGCCTCTTAAGTTGGCAGTTGGTAACCTTCTTAACAGTAAAGAAAAAAAATCACTCTTCACGAACAAGAAAAAAACACGTAGCAATCAATGCATTGATTAACCTAGCACAGGAAATTTCCCCTTGCAACAACAATGAACAAATATTTAATGATAAACCATAGGTAGGAACAAAAAGTAGAGTACGTACATTCCTGTCTGTGATATTCATTGCAAAATTCAATTCCATTTTCAAAAAGACCCTTTGTGCTCCCTCATCAAATATTAGCGATCGAGCAGATTTGGATGTTCAATATCAGCTTTAATTTTGGAGTTCATCGGATATTGCGGGAAAAGTTGATATCGGAAGCTAGTAAACGCACGCGATTTCCAAAGATCTTAAAGAGAAGTTTGCGGAGGAAAACAAAATGAAGCGTGTTTGTCTACTTTTGTCTGTTGTTTACTAGTTTTTGTTTTGTTTGGAGATCCTAGTTGGCTATGTTGTTTATCTTCATCGCTTTGATAATCCGTGCATGCTTTCTCTCCAGTGCCAGAGCGGACGCCCATCCAGTGACCGGCCAAAGTTTTTAAACCTTTTAAAGCTAAATCCTTTCAGTTAAGAATTGCTAAAATAGGCTTATAGTGAAAAATGATATCCAACATTCAGTTAATTAAACTCGGTGTTTTTTGCACGTGAGTTCCCTTACTTTCCGTGTAGACGTTCCTTGTGACGAGCAATACGGAACTACATGCAACTTGGAATTAAGGATCGAAGCCGTAAAAAAAATTTGATTCCTTAAACTTAAGGAAGCCTTTCAGAGGGAACAATATACGTAAACAAGACTCGTTATGAATGGAGAAGATTGGCAAACGACGAACTTGTCTAAACTTTCCAAGATGCACATGTTTAGTAGCTCTTGTAGATCACGCTCCTCCGGTCCGAGTTCCTAGTATTTTTAATTTTTTTCAACAGCAAAAAAAATTTTTCTTGCGACCGTGACCTGTTTACACTGAAGGATTTAGCACTCGATATTTATCGGACGTGACAGGTGAAGTCAACCGTGCGTGTGTCCAGCGTAAAAAGCATTTGTTATGCAAAGACACTGCGATTGTGTCAGTGGACGCCAGCATAAAATAGAAAATGATTTTGGATTAACCGTACGAATGGCCAAGGAAATTTAACAATAGAAAGGCAGAGAAGTCATTCTCTATCGATCAACGCTTGGCACAATTAATTCGTCAACCGCACATTAAAACTCTTCGATAGAACAACATTCAAGTGGGTTTGTCGGTTTTGTGTGCATTGACGTCGCTGATCCCTCTAATGTACTTTTGCTCAGTTTTTTTTCAGTCTAGGATCGCACCCCATGAAGTTCTAGTTGTTACAGTCTTCCGGATTATAAGACTCAAGTGGAGAATCTGCTAACCGAAGCAACTTTAAACAAGATTTGCCTGTTTAAGAAGTCTTTACTAAATCGTAGAATCCTTGTTGCGAGACATCACTGAGATGTTTCATAAAGTGACATATTTTAACACAATCCGGTTTATAGACAAACATGATAGTTTCGCCCTTTGCCACCTAAAATGAACGTTATGCTAAAGATTAACGCTAACATTCTCATTAGGGGCATAATATAAACGCTCTCTACGCGTTTGGCATTCTTATCTTAGAAGGTCGCGTTCGTCGATTTTCATGGTCTGCGCTAAACCTTTCCAATTCGTAATCTCTTTATCATGTGACCCCTTAAAATTGTTATTGTTATCTAATCGAAAAGTAACTCAACTGCTGTATTTACACTCCACTTGAAGGAATAGTTAGGAAGCAATAACGTAAATTTAAAGGTCAAAATACCTTAAAGATGTTCTCCAGTCAAGTTTTTCTCCGAAATCATAGCAATTTTAAACGACGATTGCATGAAGCGTTTTCGCCCCCTCTTTTGACCGGATATGACAAGGTAAACAGCACCGCGTAAATATTACATTGTGATGCTAATAAAAAGCGCAATGATATAGCGTTTATTTTTCTCCAACGACGCGTAAGGAAGATAGTTAGTTGCTGAGTATTGTTGGTAAACCACAACATATTTTACGGCCCACGAGCCATTGTTCTGAAGGACAATATCGCGAGGCTTAAACTGGCCCGAGGGGTTTGTAAAATACGACGCCGTACAGACTCCATACGAGGGACCTTTTGTTAGCATTCTCTCCGAACCTTATCTCCTTTATCTTATCTTTCTTTTAAAAGGACAATGAAATTTCTAGACTTATCAATTGGTAGTTTAATACGTTCGAAATCACGCCTTTCAGTCATGTACACGATGAACTATGGCGATACCTGCCCAGCGTATAACTTTGAATAGCACAAAGTGTCACACTAAGGCATCGCGTTAGACTCACCTCTTTTAAATGGTGGGTATACTTGAAATAGTTCCTTCAACAACCGTAGAATCTCTTGAAGTGGAATTATTCTCAGTTGACACCAGATTTAGTTTGCAACAGACCAGGGAATCACCACGTTTAGTTGGAGTTTAAATTTTTTTTCTCTCAAAAGGTGCTCATAAATAAGGTTGTTGACAGATGTCTGTTGAAATGAGTCGCCTTATGAACTGTCAACGCTTCATGTCAAAGACGTTATTGTGATGCCCTAAAAACTACTGTCTTTTGTTGCGGCAAATTATTTCAATTAGCACGTGTCATTTGGTGCAAGAGAGCAGATCGAATATCGTTGTTTGAAAGCCTTGAACTAATAAAAATCTTATTGTTTTGGTTTTCCATGATTTGTTTTCAGGCCAGTAACTTACTTATCTCGTTGCTTACCACAGAAGCGAAGAATGTGA